CTAGCACTAAGATGCTAACTGGTTAGCTTCCGACAAACCGGCCACAACCAAACTGTCTTGCGAACGTTCTGCCACAACAATCCCGCCCCCTTGATAATCGACCAATCACATTCCCTTTAATCACTTGTGTGAAATCGGGCACAGCTGGGAGAAAACAGAAATACAACGGATATAACAGGTTAAAGTTCTTTTATTTTATTTAGATAATTTGTATGAAAGATAAATAGTGTTATAATGTTTTATCTATCCCAGGACAGTCTGGACTGGGGGAGAAAGGGAGCACGCAGATTAAATCTGGGTCAGTTGGAACAGAAGCGTATTGATGACATCACCGCATTCAAAGCTCGTCTGGAGCTGCATTGTGAATGTTTGTTTTGAAACCTCTTAGAATCTAATGTTTTTCTTCACTCCATATCTCAGACTTCACTTTGTTAGCTCCACACTTCCCTGGGAGATGCTAGCTGGCTTAGCCGCAGTAGGCTACTTCCTTCTTTGCCCCGTGTGCAAATGCTCAGTACTGTTCGTCCTTCGTTTTTGTAAATATACAAAAAGGGCTTTTTATTACTAATAACCTGAGCAAGAACAAAGCGTAACTCTCTAAAATAGCAAATAAATACACCAGCAGGGCGCAGCCAGGTATGTAAGCAATGTTAGCTACTGGTGTATAAATGTAAAATGATTATCCAGGCCTTTTTGTCTTCCCGTTTAGACTACTGTAACAGTCTTTTCTCATGTCTAAAGAAAGGAGTCGTCTCGTCCTCAGCGGGTTCAGGTCACTGACTCGTACCAACAGAAGGGCTCATATTACGCCGATTCTAAAAGCTCTTCATCGGCTCCCAGTCTGTTTTTGGTTCCAGTTTAAAATCCTGGTTCTGACCTTCAGGGCCTTCCACGGTCAGCCTCCCTCCTACATCAGAGACCCCCCCCCCGGAGGCTGAGGTCTCAGGACCTGAACCTGTTCCCTCGTAGGCGTTACAGGACCAGGGCAGGTCGCTACTTTCAGGAACGATCTCCCACTTTCCTTTCTTCATTCTGTTGATGTTTTTAACTGAAATTATATTTGTTTAAGAAAGCAGTTTAATTCCAGTAGATTAAGGGTTGTTTTATCACCATGTGTTTTCTGACTGTGTTTGTATTTTAATTTTGTGAAGCACTTTGTGACCACCATGTCTGTGAAAGGTGCTATAAAAATAGACATTATTTACTTTCTACTTACTAAAAAAGGTCAAATAATGTAACTATGCTCCTTTCTGTCCACTCCATATAATCCAAACTAGAGATGTCCTCTGATACGTTCACATTAATGTCCGTCTCCATCCCATCATTTAAACTGGGCCCATATTAACAGCTACTTATTGCTGTCCTGATGCCCTTTGTTTCTGGAGTAGGAGGGGATTGGTCATGTGACAGTGATGTTTGATGGATGTTTGAACTGAAACAATCTCTATTCGGTGTATTTCTATAGCTCCAATTCACATCATGTCATCTCAGGTCACTTTCCAGTTCACCAGACTATCCAGTCAGATTGGTTCAAAGTTTTAGAGACAAGCAATGTCAGCTGTTCAGATGGTGTCTTTTGAAAAGGCGGGAGAATGTATATATTAGTTATTGGTTATTGGCTATAACAGAGAAGTGATTATCAAATATCAGTATTTTTCCAGATTTTCATATCACTGCATCTCTGATACGTAGCACGAGAAAATCCATTCAACCAAAGATTTGGACAGAAGTCGGTGTTCTTCGCTGTGGGTTGATTTGTTGTTGTTTTTTAAGACAATTTTCTAAATGTAAAAATGAAATACAATTAATTGTTATATTATCTGTAAAATATATTATGTCTGAAAAGGGGTATTAAGAAGTTATTGAGGCTATTGATTAATTTGTCTAAAGCCTTTTTCCCACTGAAAGTATCGGGTTAACGCGTGTTTTCCAAACACGGTTCGACGCGCTAACAATCGGCATTTAGCTCCCTGCCCACCGGCAGTTAAAGCTGCTCTAACCCGACGCTGGCAGCTGTGTGACCTCTGACCTCTAATTAGGGCTGAAACAATTTAATTAATCATGATTAATCAATTATTGAAATCATTGTCAACTAATTTAGTCATTGATTAATCTTAACTGGAGTATAGAGACTCTAAAATATTCCTTTAGCTGATGGAGAAACACACTTAGAGCAGTACTTATAGCAAAATTGTAATAAAATATATAAACATGTTGCATTTAAAATAAAAAAAACATTTCATCTGTCAATATCTTCTATCCAGAACTCCTCAATTGGAAAAGTTTTAGTTTCACCTGGTTTAATTTAAAAAAAAATCTCTTTGGCTATCCGATTATTAATCGATGAATTTAAAAAATAATCATTAGTTGCAAAACTAAACCTAATAGGTTCCTCTTTGTTTTATCTTATAAATCAATTTAGTAATATGTAAAATAAAAAAAAAACATTTTTATGTTTATTCATTCAGTGTTTAACACAACGGAACAATAAATAGTTAAATATAATGACATTTTTTTTAAATTCAGCATATTGTAAAAAATAACTTCTTGCTGCGCATCAGTTAATCATTAGTTGATCGATAAGATCAATTATCACTTTATATTTATTCATTCATCAATAATGTGCATCTTTAATTAAAGTTGCTGTTATTTATTGCTGCATGCAACAAATTATATACAAAGTAGGGCTGAAACAATCAGATTAATTGATTATTGAAATAATCATAAACTAATTTAGTTATCAATCAATAGTTAACTGGAATATAGATAATATTTTCTAAAAAGACCCTCATATAGCAGTATTACATTATATTATTACAGGGTTCCCGCGGGTCTTTAAAAAGTCTTAAAAGGCATTGAATTCTTCCAAATAAAACTAAAGCCTTAATTGGTATTAAAATGTTTTAAATCAGTCTTTCGTAGGTCTTAATTTTTAAAACATCATAAATAGGATTATTTTTATTACGATTTATTTTT